TGGTATTTATCTGCCTCAGTGCAGAAGGACAGACATCACATAGTGCCACGCACCCAGAAAAAAAAGGGCTGGTTGGAAAATCCAAATACTAAGTATGGCCTTGGGTAAAAAGAGGCCTGTCAGCTTCACCGTGCTGTCTCACAGCTGACTGAGAGGGTCACAGCGACAGATCACCTCTGTTTAGCCACAGCCCCGCCAACCTTCACCCCTTGGAGAGATAGCTAAATGTTAAGCCTGTCTGAAAAATGCTCATTCCATCACAGACACATGTAGACAATGCTTAAGAACTTATGCATAGAGAAGAGAAAACAAACACGTGTCAGACACATGGGAAAATAAAAAAAGAAGGGAAGCACACCAAGACAGATGACTAAAAATCTCAGACAGACTCACAGTTTTGCTAGACAGTATTATTTTTTTTTTTGTGTGTAGGAGACTGTGTGAGTCATCTGTCCTACTCACCAAATGCTTCCTTTTGTCTCACAAATGTTAAAGTGGATCACATTAGCAGACTAGAATTGTCTTATAAAATGCTTATTTTTTATATCTCAAACTTGAAAGATGATTGTTAAACACTTTTAAATACCTTAGACCTTTTTCCATGTCATCAGCACCCCAGTAACTATTTTTTTTTGTACGTTACATTTCACAAATGGCAACAGTATCCCCCTGCAGACACGGGGAAGCAGTTTAGAATGTAGAGGAATGGGTCAAGATTTAACAAGCAGATTGAGGTGTTCACCTGGCCTCAATTTACTTCCCATATCTCAGTTTGATGAAATGTGATTATAGAAAGAGGTCCAATCCGAAAGCATTCCTCCCCACAACCTACAGGCCCTGTCACACTATAATGTTTTAGACAACTTATGCCAGCTTATGAAATTTTGTCTAAATTACTAATAAAAGTTAATATATGATGAATTTGTTAGCATTACAATATGTACATGCCTAAAAGAGGCTTCCAGTTGATTGTTTTAAAATTCCATCTTCAGCGTAAATGTCTTTAAATTTTTCACACGTCGGCACAAGTTGTCTAAAACGCTACAGTGTGACAGGGACCAGTAGCTGCATTTCCATTGCAAATGTGCAGAAAACTTTGTTGATATTCTGTTAATGTCGACAAAACACAGTTTTGCAACTGTGGTGTTTCCATTAAGTAAGAAATGCAATTGAAGTTACGAGTGAATAGGTTTGTTCTCACGATAAGTCATTACAAACATGGCGACAACGAATGTAAGCACATGCTTACTGCTACCGCGACACTAGCGCTCAACATCAGCCATCAGAGGAGACATCGGCATCTTATCAAAGCTTTCGAGTGACAAGTCCCTCATACTTGGGTTCAGCTTCGTATGCAGTGTTTTTGGAAAATTGTAGTCTACTTTGGTGATTTTACTACTACTTCTACTTCCTGTTTTCTTCTTCGTCACATTTTTTGCCATTAAAAAACATCCGGTTTTTGATCACGTGACTCCCATGATGCGAAAAAAGTGTTTCCATTGCAGTTCTGCATAAAATACCAATTTCGATACAGCCGAAAAAACACCTTATCCTAGCACAAGAAAATTTTGTCGAAAAAAAATATTTTTTTTCGAAATTGACATGTCTCCATTAAGCAAATTTAATTTCGAAATTCTAATTTGTGCATTTTCATGGTCAATGGAAACGCAGCTATTGTCATGAACTCTATTGCTAACCTCCTGTTACCAAACGACCTGATACTCCAAGGTGATTATTTTTTCTTTGTTAACAAGCTGTTTTAGTTTTTAAAAGACAAAGCATTGTTACTGTGGATATTTGCAATGCCAGTGGATGCACTTTGTATTGTACTGTCATTTCTTTTATCAAGCATTTTATAAAGATTGAAGTAAATTGCAATGTGATGCTATGTGACAGGCAAAGCATAAAGCCATGCGTTTTGTGTATAAATGTTGTAATTTGAGCTGTTCTGTCTTCCCTTCCACATTAGTGCTTGTGTGTCCCTCCCCTTAAAATTGTTGGGCCTCTCCGAGTTTATAAAGAGAATAAACGAGAACACCCACACGACTCTTTAAAAGCACAAGCTGTTCTAATTCCCATGACAAAAAACATGTTATTTCGCCAATGCCTGAGGCATCTCTTAGATGTGCAAAAGGTGTAATTTGGTGTCTACCATGACACATTGGCCACAGTAATATTTGATGCTGGGAGTGAGTGATGCCTTATTAACAATTGTCAGTGTGCATTAGGAAGAAGCAGTAGGGATTGTTGAATCAATATCAAAACTTTTGGAGGCATTCGCTTAAATCTGATCCAGGTTTTAATAGTTTCTGGAGCTAGTTTGCCTCAGAAATGTTTTTTTATGTGTCATTGGGTTAATCTTGTGTCTTTTTTCATCTTCTCCATAAGAATGTTGCTTTACTAGAAGCTTTGGAACAAGCAAAGTTTATGTTGTGTGAAAGATGCAAAAAAAAACTGTGCAGATGGAATGGAGTGTGAACCACTGTGGTTTTGATATTAAAGCTGAATTGAATACAGACATATACACAACCAGATCTCCACAAATAACCAGTTTACCTGCTACTGACACTGTAGCACTGACCACCGCAGTATCTCAGAGGTCAGCATCACAAGCTTAAAATCAACCACTTTTGTATTTTAATCCTAAGGCTGCAGATTTGAGCCCAGGTTAAAGGAGACCAATTATGGGTCCTAGAAATTTTTCATGGTATATCTGTGGGCTATCCAGACCATGTTCATTCAATTTAATGCACAAAATAATTCTCAGATAYTAAAATTTCCCATTTTCTAGTTCTGCCTGCTCTGACTTCCATTCAGAAGAGCTGTTTATGTTAATGATCTCTGTTGGTAACGCCCTCCAAAAAATCTGTTGACATTAACTCCGCCCTCCAAAGCCAGCGTTTACATTAGCATGGCTTATAATAGCAGAAGCTCTGTTGTACAACCATATGAGGCCTAGAGGCAGAGTCGTGGTGGCAGCTTCTTTTTTTTTCTCCCCCTGTGCTCTGCGCTCACTCTGCATGCTGTTACCAGAGCAGGGAGCAGCAACGGTAAAAATACTTCGGAAACTTGAACAAATAGGCTTTACCAAGGCTTTAATAAGCTAAACAATAGAGGCACATGAGAAAACGTGTTCATAACGAACAAAAATAAATAAATAATTAAATTGTATCCATGCCAGTCTCAAACCCTGGTCTCCCGCTCTCTGGTCCAACACTCTACCCATTGCCCTATTGGAGGCTTATTATGAAGCAAGCTGCGCATTACACAACAACACTGTGACGGCTTTTTATACTGAGGAGGTGGAGCTTCACCTGGGGGTTGCTAGGTAAGGGGCTGAACGCAGGTTCCGGTGGGTTGTCGTACGGCTTGTGACATCACAAAATGACAGAAGTATAAAACTTGTCATTAATATATATTAAAAATACATTTACTTACAGTAAATATGCCCCTGGGTGCATTTTTTTTGGTCCTGTTTTTTTAAGAAGTACATACCCAAAGTTGAGTAAAAAAAAACTTTAAAAGTGAATTTTGCATAATAGGTCCCCTTTAAAGCATTAGCCAAAACCCCCTGCAGGAGGGAGCAGCTAAAAGAAATAGAAACTGTGTGTCAAAATTTAGTCAAATCAGATTTTTAGCATGAATTGTACTGAGAGAGTAACTAGACTCAAAGTAAAACTAAGTGGTTAAAACTATATTGGTAAAATTTCAAGTTCTGTCAGTAAATGTCACATTGACGTTTTCTTTGACAACCATTTCAATAATGCTTATAGTGCATTTTTTAACACTTTGTACCCTGAAGCCATGAAAAGGAACCATGCAGGCATCACCTGAGTTTATGATAATGCATTGAGACAGAATATTCAAAGGAAGATTTTCACTTTTCAAAATAATGAATGTCTCTTAAAATACGCATTCTTTGGTAGAAGTGAGTTCCAGATTTCTGAGTGAACCTTTCACAGCACTTTTTAAGTTGTTTAGATATTCATTATCTCTTTGGTTGGTTGATTTTTGCTGTGAATGAAAAAGTCACCTCCTTCTCACAGCCTTCACTTTTTAAACACCTCTAGTGCAAATGGGCTCTGCTTTTGGAAAGTCTCCCCTTCAAGCTTTCAAACGGTACAAGAGATTTAAGGGGGTCAAGAAAGGGTACTGTTAGATAGAAATCTAATTAGGTGATTGTGCTAGGAGCTTCACTAGGTGCTCGATAAACTCCCACACACTCGCTTTTCTTCTTGCTCATTTTTCCCTGTCTCAGCTCTCAGTTTTCACTCACCCTGTGACGCTGCCTGAGAGTCCCCTGCTGAGGGCACAGTCACAGAGAGGAGATCATGGCCCACTTACTACAACTTCACTGCTTCATAGTCTTCACAGAAAAGAGTAGATTCCCCCCGTCAGTTGTTAATAAAGTTTTTTTCTTATAGTTTTTTTTTTTGCTCATTATTTTTTACCTCCTGACTGAAAGAAACCCGCTAGTGGCAGGGCTTTAAAGAGTGACAAGGATGGCAAGATCAGTCCTGTTTTGGCACATTGTGCAGCCCACTCATCTGTATTTTTCACATTTCATTGTAGGTGACTAGATGTATAGTGGTTTCTGCTTTGTATGATTGTTTTGCGTTGTGTGAGTGCACACATACGGAGAAGTGCTGTCAAGAACTTGACAGGTGTAAAAAAAGAAATAACTAATTTCTTTGAAAGAATGAACATTTCCCCCACATTTTATAGATTTTTTTATCTCCCTTATATATATATATATATATATATATATTTCTCTTTGTT